TAGGTTTTTATCACACACAGCTGACCAAGAAAAGCCCAAGAAACACACAGGAACATTTAAACGTCGGATTGTTTCTGATCAGGAGAGCAAGACTCAAACTGATAAATTTAAATTTAATCAGGTCATCCCAATTCAAATAAGAAAGGTCTCAAAAGCCCCCGTAGTGGGTAAGTCTGCCACCAAGGAAATTAAGGCTTTGAGGAAAAAATAGGGTATTGGGGTAGAAGCTAAATGCAAATCTATGATTGCCTTCAAAATACTTTATCATTATTAAAATAAAACAGTGTAAACATAACAAAGAAAAAATATCCAGGACATTTCACACATTTTAAATTGGTTTTACTCCTTGCCTACTAGAAACCTCTCAGAAATTCTACATCTTTTGTTTCAATGAAATAATAATCGATATAATTTACTAAGAAGCATTACCCTTTTCCTTTCCCATATCTAGTCACTTATCCAAAATGCTCAAAGAACAACTTGATCCTAAAATACGTAAATATTGGGGTAAATTTTATTTACCTTTCTTGAGAAAGCTGAGGAGGTGCCAAGCAAGAATCCCTCTCCATGCCATAGTTTGGTCCCCGGTTTCCCCTCATGCCAGAAATATGTTATGGCAGCCCTTGACCTGTAGCTCAGCTCACTGACTTTTTTTTTGAGACAGAGTCTCAAGCTGTTGCCCTCGGTAGAGTGCTGTGACGTCACAGCTCCCAGCAACCTCCAACTCTCGGGCTTAAGTGATTCTCTTGCCTCAGCCTCCCAAGTAGCTGGGACTGCAGGTGCTCTCCACAACGCTTGGGTAGTTTTGGGTTGTAGTTGTCATTGTTGTTTGGTGGGCCCAGGCTGGATTTGAACCTGCCAGCTCTGGCATATGTGGCTGACACCCTAGCCTCTTGAGCTACAGGTGCCAAGCCAGCTCCAGCTATAGGTGCCGAGCCAGCTCCCTGTCTTTTAGTAAGATTAAAGAGCAACACTATTAAGGCCCTGTGATTCTTTTATCTATTCCTAAGACCTCTCTGAAAAAAAATCTCTATTTTTACTGTGCTATAGCTTTTAAAATTCCCTCTTTTATCCTAATTATCTCTTCCTTTTCTACTTGTACCAGGGATAATTTGCAAATGAAATTATTACAGTTAAAGGAAAAGATACAGAAGAAACTGCATGAGTGCCAGGATCTTGTATAGAGATTGCAGTGAGCAAAATGATGGGAACATTACTAACACAACTAACTATCTTAGATAACTAAGACAAATGCAGTCTAAACTAGTCTACCCAGCAGCCAGCCAACGCCTTAGATGGGACCAAGCAATGTTCATACATTTATACACAGATACTTCTACTGAACCATGGGAAAACTCCAAAGGAAACAACATTTATGTTAACTTTCCTTGCAGGAAAATATACAAGAGAATAATGCTGCAAATTTACATAAAACATATTGGACTTAATCAGTGGTCTTTAAAATAGGGAGCCTCCTACAAATGGGAGTATCTTAAGACCTTTCAAAGAACATTTAATTTAAAAGCACAGGTAGTGTAAAGATTTCTGGATGGTAATTTACAAATGAACTCTTTTCCTAAAACTATGAAAGTGGAAATTTTCTGTCTTCAAGGAAAATAATCAGGAATCTAAGATTTCTGACTTTTAAAAAAAAGTTTTTTCACATTTTTTAAAAAAATGGATGATGATAGATGTCAAATAGTTAAATATTCTACTGAATATATTACAAAATACAACAAGTTTTATTTTTAAACAGATATTCATAATATTCTCAAAATTATAAGTTTTGCAAATGTTTAAACTTACAATGAAAAAGTTTTAGCTGTCTTTAAAAAAAGTTTTAGCTGTCAACATAAAAAAAGTACAAATAATTGAACATTTCCTGATACTCATTAGGGAGATGGTGAGCAAAATAGTTTGAAAGCTACCAGACTAAATGATGTCAAGGTTTCATTAACCTCTAATATTCCAATGCCAAGATTCTAAATAAGGAACTACTGTACATCATGTACGTCTGGGCTGTAGGAAGTGACACAGACAGTGGGCGTAATTAAAAAGCCACTTGGAGAGACAGTGAGATTTCAGCAGAGTTTTATGAATGGAAGGTAGGATCCTGAAGAACCTGAGGAAAGATAAACAGGTTAGAGGTGAGAGGTAGAGCCCAACTATATGTAGTCCTTTGCAGGAGAAGGAAAGTGGATGTGCCAGATGAAGAATGGAAAGGACATGGGTGGTCAGGTCACAAGAAGCTTGAATTCAAGTTCAAGTTCTACCACTTTTTGGCTAAGCCATTTTGAAGAAGGCTTAAATTTAAATTATAAAATTATAGCACATGCTAGTCATTAAGCCCTCACTAACTGAGAGCCATTGAACAGTAGCAATTTGGATAATGGTCAAAAACATGAGCTCTGCAACCCACAGCCTAGACTGAGACAAAAACTGCCATTTTCTAGAGATATCACCTTGTCTAGGCTGACTAAACTTCTCTGTGCCCCACTAGCATAAAATGGAGATACCAGAAGTATCCATGTTATAGGGTTATTATAAGATTCACATAAATGCATGTAAAGAACTTAAAAAGAGTGCTCCAAATAGTGGCTTTATTATTATTGATGATGGCATTGTTATTACTCTCTAATTCTCAATGTCAAATAGAGATCAAGAGATTATTACTAATAAGTATTTATTAAATTAAGAGCCTTAAAAAGGGGGTAAGGTAGATGAATCCAACTACTTATCGTCATTTGATCTTTGACAAGCCTATCAAAAATATTCAGTAGGGGAAAGACTCCCTATTTAACAAAAAGTGCTGGTGACCTATAGAAGACTAAAACTGGACCCCCACCTTTCACCATTAGCACAAACTGATTCTCACTGGATAAAAGATTTAAACCTAGGATATGAAACTACGAAAATACTAGAAGAGAGTGCAGGGAAAACACTTGAAGAAATTGGCCTGGGAGAATATTTTATGAGGAAAACCCCTTGGGCAATTGAAGCAACATCAAAAATACATTACTGGGATCTGATCAAACTAAAAACTTTTGCACAGCCAAAAGCACAATAAGTAAAGCAAACAGACAACCTTCAGAATGGGAGATTTTTGCATATCATGCTTCTGACAAACGTCTGATAACTAGAATCCACAGAGAACTCAAACTAATCAATAATTAAAAAAAAACACATTTCTATGTGAGCAAGAGACTTGAACAGAAACTTCTCTGATGAAGACAGGTGCATGGCCTACAAACATGTGAAAAAATGCTCATCATCCTTCATCATCAGAGAAATGCAAATAAAAACCACTTTGAGATGTCATCTAACTCCAATAAGACTAACCCACATTACAAAATCCCAAAAATACAGAGGTGGGCGTGGATGCAGTGAGAAAGGAACACTTCTACACTGCTGGCAGGAATACATATTGCAGCCCAATTCATAATAGCCAAGACACGGAAACAGCCCAAGAGTCCATCAACCCATGAATGGATTAACAAATTGTGGTATATATATACCATGGAATACTATGTAGCCATAAAAAAGACGGCGACTTCACATCTTTTATGTTTACCTGGATGGCACTGGAACACATTCTTCTTAGTAAAGTATCTCAAAAATGGGAAAAAAAGTATCCAATATACTCAATACTACTATGAAATCAATATATAATCACCTACACACTCATATGAATGGCAAAACATAACTGTAGTCCAGAAAGTAGAGGGGAAGAGGAGAAAGAGGGGAGGGGAGGGGGGACATGGGAGGAGGGACCTCACCTAATGTGCATGATGCAATGGTACATTTCAAAACTATTAAGTAATGAGTATAATTGTGAAAAAGGGGGGGGGGCAGGGTGGATGAGGAATAGTTACATCTATACTAAAAGCCACTAAGATGGCTCCTCAGTTTTCCCACAAAAGTATGTGACACTTATCCAGTGAATTTCACTGCTGCATAGCTATCAAAGTAACATAGATCTTTTTTCCTGACTTAATGGCCAAAACCCAAAATAATACATTGCATTTTGTTCTACAAAGAATATCTTGTGGTATATTCAGCAGGACTATATTTGGTCCTTACAATGACACAATTTATATTATTATAATTTTTTTTTTGAGACAGAGTCTCATTATGACGCCCCTGGTAGAGTGCCGTGACATCACAGCTCACAGCAACCTCAAACTCCTGGGCTTAAGTGATTCTCTTGCCTCAGCCTCCCAAGTAGCTGGGACTACAGGTGCCTGCCACAACACCTGGCTAGTTTTTTGTTTCAGTTGTCATTGTTGTTTAGCTGCTCTGGGCCAGGTTTGAACCCACCAGCCTTGGTGTATGTGGCAGGTGCAATGACCACTGTACTATGGGTGCCAAGTCAATTTATTAAAAGTTATTTTGTGATATGGTAGGAACATGTTGCCTTTACCTAAGGTATTCCAACACTAACATACCAAGAGATCTCATAAAATACCCTTACCTGTTATTAATATAATAAATATGCCAATCATAGAAGCAAAGATAGCACAGTTCTGATTATGCTAGTTTAGTCATTTAAAAACTGTTACCAAAATATTTTTTAAATTATAGAGGTAATTCATAATTCATCACCCATGTTCTTTTCAATAAACATATTCATTAAGAAAGTCTGGTGTCCCATCCCAATCCCTACTTTTTGAACCATGCTCAGGACAAGCTGCATAGTTTTTCAGATATTATTTTAGTAGTTTTCACTTGAAGCAAGCTTTCATATATTCTGGCTAAAACCTTGACCAAAAATGTGAAAACAAAGCTCAGAAATGTATTATTTTAAGGAAAGCATTTAAAACACCAGGTTTGAACTTTTAAAAAGCAGTTCAGGAAACAACTAAAGGGACAAGTACCCCACAGACTGTGTTGTTTCCTAACTTCATTCAACCATGCAGGATGAATATTCAATATTCTGAGATCTTGCTGACAAACAACAGGTTAGGAAGCTACAGGCATGCGTTAGAAATGTTAAAACTTACAAGTGTGTCTAGCCAGTGAGTAGTTGGATCCTCCGCTGGTCAGACCAAATCCTTCAGGAATCTGGCTGGAGCTTCGAGGTCTGGTCAATAGTTTGGGAGGCTCAATTTCAGCACCGAATTCAGCTCCTATCACTCCGAGCAAAACAATTGCAGTCGCTTGCTTCCGTCTTTCTTCATAAGATGTGGAAATTTTTTTCATTTGTGGGACACTTGATAAGCAACCTGAAAACCAAAACACAGCAATATAAGCTTTAAACATATCAATACAAAAAAGATATGAGTAGAAACACACCCAAGATCGTGCATTCGGGAAGAACAGTGCTATAAACAGATGGCGCTGGAAGAACGGGTAACTTGCCTGCAAGATTGAATCTGAACACCTACCTCTTACCATACAGAAAACATCGACTCGAAACGGATCACAGTCCTAAACATAAGAGCTAAAACTAAAAAACCCTCAGTGGACAACACTGACACATGTCTTCAGGACTTTGGGTCATACGATAATTTCTTAAATATGATACCAAAAAGCACAATTATTAGAAACATTTATGCTTAGAAGCATAGATTTAAGAAAGTATAAAGACAGCCCACAGACTCAGAAAATATTATCAGATCATACATCTAATAAGGATTGACCTAAATTATACATTTAACTGATCCTCCTGCCTCAACCTCCCAAGTAACTGGGCTGTAGGTACACACCACTGCACTAGGCTGTGAATAGCTAAAGAACTCTTACCATTCAATAGCAAGTGCAATTTGAATAGGCATTTCCCCAAAGATATATGAATGGCCAAAATCACATGAAAAGAAGCCAAATATCATACGTAAGTCATTGGGAAAATGCAAATCAAAACGGCAATGAGATACCACTTCATATCTTCTAGAATGGCTGCAATAAAAAAAAAAAAGGCCATAACAAGTATTGCTGAGGATGTATAGAAACTGAAACCCTCACGTATTGCTGGTGGGAATGATTACAATGACAGAACTGCTTTGGAAAATGGTTTGGTAGTTCCTTAAAAAGTTAAACATAGAGTTACCATGAGGCCCAGCAATTCTACTCCCGGGTATCCATCTACCCAAGAGAAATGAAACAAACTCATACACAGTGGCATTATTCAAAATACCTTTACCAACAGATGAGTACTATTCAGCCATAAAAAATATGGAGACTTTACATCTTTTCTGTTAGCCTAGGTGGAGTTGAAACACTCTTCTGTGTTTCACAAGAATAGATAAGTGTCACAAGAATAGATAAGTGTCACAAGAATAGATAAGTGTCACAAGAATAGATAAGCAAGTATCCAATGTATTCAATACTAACAGGAAGCCAGTAGACGATCTAATACACGCCCATGTAAGAGGAAAACACAGTTCAATTCTGGGGCCAGGGGCAACAAGGGAAGGAGGAGGGGGAGAAAGAAGGGAGGTCATTGTCCCCCTACTTAATGGACACAATGTAAGGGTCTATGGTCACCTCTGTGTACAGGGTACAACTACCAGAGGGACTACCTAACAAATATTAACATTGTAACATAATTGGTCGCACCCTCACATTAACCTGAAATTTAAAAACATGTGGTATATCTATACAACAGGATATTAGTCAGCACTAAAAGGAATGAAGCACTGATGTGTGCCACAGCATGGATGATCTTTAAAACATTAGACTGAGGATAGAATTAAAGTCTACTGTGTCCTGTGTCTTAACCTCCCTATCCCACCTTCCAGCCCTCAACAATTCTGACTTTGCCAGATTTTATGTCTATTATATGATCATTTCAATGTTACCTGAAATATCAATATATTTCCTGGCCTTGAGCTATGCTTACACATCTGGGATAAACCCTGAATAAATGCATGCGTGAATGGATGGTGGCAGACAGGTAGATAAATAATCTAAACAGACCACTACACAGACTAAATCTGCTAATGGGGGCTTTTTGCTTCTATGTGAGTGAGATTTGGTTTACGATTTTCTTTTCATACACTAAACTTGTTAGGTCTTGGTATCAACATAACACAAGCCTCCAAAGATAGGTTAAGTAATTTTCCCTTTCCTGCTTCCAGTATTTCATCCCCTTATATTCTCTGAAAACAGTTGAAGGATTCTTGAAATGTGATAAAATATGCCTTTAAAACTATCAGAGTCTGGCTGGGCATGGTGACTCATCCAGTAATCCCAGCACTCTGGGAGGCCCAGGCGTATTGCTTGAGCTCAGGAGATGGAGACCCAGCCTGAGCAAGAACGAAATCCCCTCTCTCATTAAAAATAGAAAAACTAGCCTGATACTGACCCAGGTCTATAGTCCCAGCTACTTGGAAGCTGAGGCAAGAGGACTGCTCAAGTCCAAGAGTTTGAGGTTGGTATGAGTAATATTACACCACGGCACTCTACCCAAGGGGACACAGTGAGACTCTATCTTTGAAAAAATGAAAAATAAAAAGTAAATAAAAAATATATAAAACTATCAAGAGCCTTCCACTCAGGACATGCCCCACCTAGAGGCAGGGATGGGGAAGGTAGTGGAGGCAGCAGGACACAGGCAGGCATATTTATTATGACTTCCTTTACTTGAATAGTGCCTTACTTAGCCCGGCTTTCTTCTTCTTGTTGTTTCTGGCACCTTGTATCAGCTGCTATGGATACTTTAAATATTGTGTTTTTGTGCCTTCTCCAATATTATTTTTCACTTTTTAAAAAGTTGTGCTCAAAGTATATATTTTATCAGATTATTGCTTAAAAGTACATGGGTTTTGATCTTCTTGTTTGCTTCCTATTTCAGAATTCCTGCTCTTATTTTGATGAGTACTCCTTTTTTTCCTATGTTGTTCAGGTTTTCTCTCTTCGCTCTTTTTCCTTGTTTTGTTCCTAGGTTCTCAGGTTGAACAGAACTCACTTATTTTCATTGTTTCCAATCACAGTTAACGTGGCTGGTCACGTATTTCATGTGCATTTTCCTCCTGTCCTTTAGTAACGTAACCACAATTTTATTCTGAGTAGCGATATGTTCACATCGATGATCTTTCAAGAACTGAGAAAGCCATACATAGCCCAGCTCCTGGCTTTGAACTTTAGTCACGATATATTTTAAGTCTTCTTTAGCCCACAGGAGCCAAAACCCTGCTTCTGGAAAGCTGCTAATGGTTTCAGCCAAGCATTTCCATTTCATCACTGGTCCGCGGAGGTATCTTTTTGAGCCTACCTACGTCTCTTTGGGTTTGTCCTTGTTTACTCTATCCATAGTAGCTATGTTTTGGCACAGAAGGATTAAAAAAGTGAACTCCTGGAGCCATCTTGATTGGAGGTCAGCTTTCTGCTCTTGCTAATATTAATCCATCCAGCTTTCTGGCCACTTGCAGTGCTTTGCTCTATATACTGATTAAATCAATTCAACAAAGGGCACTCAGAGCTCAGGATGACAACCAAGGTATCAGCAGCAAGGCCCTCCGAATACTTTCTGGTATTCTGCTTTATTCTGTCTCCTTGGTTTTTGCTTTGCCTTTTTTTATTACCAGAAGTGAGGCAAACTGAGAGAATACTAAACCATGAGAGGCCTCGCATGGCAAGCTGATACTTTTACCTTTGGGGTAACAGAAAGCCACTGAACAATTTTGAATAAGATGGTGATGGTAGAGTCACTCATCCTTGGACAGACTGTGGTAATGGCAGCACAGAGGTGGTCTGGGAGGGGACACAACTCTGGGGTCAAGAAGAACAAAAGGAGACTCATAGAATGATCAGGTAGAAAACAGTAAGGCCCAGTGATGGCAATAGTTTGCTCCATCTGTCAGTTTCTCAGTCAGTCACACACAGGAACTGCAGTTCCAGCGCCTGCCTGAGACGCCAGGTAAGAACTAACAGGGATGAGACAAGCAAAGACCTGCCCTCCCTGAACACAGGGGCCGCTGACCAGGCACTGGAACTGTGTAGGTGACAGAATCAATGAGAACTTTCTAGAATGAGAGAACAGCATATTCAAGAGCCAAACACATAAAAGAACTTGTTTATTTCTATTTCAAGAAGAGGTAAGTTGGCTAGAACTCTATGACCCAAGAGAATTGAGGAAGAAGAGGCAGGAGAGGGCACATCTGACGTGGCTGTATAGGTCATACTCACATTTCAATTTTTATCCCATGAACAAAGATACTCAAGACAGGATTTAAAACTACAGAGTGACTGGATTAGATTCAAAGTTTCAGAAAACTACTCTGAACAGGGTATGAAGAATGTTGGAGCAGGACAGTCAATTAGGAGGGTATTACAGAAATCAAGGCGAGATAAAGGTTGATTTGGTTTTGTGACGTTTAACAGGAGATGCAGAGAAGTAGAGCGCTTGAAGATAGAGAGGTCCAGGCAGATGAAGGAAACAGCAGAAAGATTTGACATGTCATGCCCTGAGTTCTTTTAAAAATCCTGATTGGTATAAAAACAAAACAAAAAAATCCTGGCAAGGGAAACAGATATAGCCTTTCGAGAAGCTGAATTAAAAACTGGAGAACATGACTTCTTAGAATACACTTTAAATTTAAATGCCTTTGTTAGTGGTGCTGAAAGCCAATAAATCTGGATGTGAGCAAGAAGACCTACTTGAGTCTGAGACTCAAGAAATGACTCTAAGACTCATAGAAATGGGGAGATAATTGGGCGGCGCCTATGGCTCAAAGGAGTAGGGCTCTGGCCCCATATATCGGAGGTGGCGGGTTCAATCCTGGCCCCATCCAAAAATAAAATAAAATTTAAAAACCTGTAAAAAAAAAAAAAAGAAAGAAAGAAAGAAAAGAAACGGTGAGATATTATAGAGAATCCAATAACTGAAAAAGAATAATTGACCGAGAAAGTGGCATTAAAATAATTAAGGAAAAAAGGAGGATTGGTTATCTAGAAAACTAAGATGGCAACATCAAGGGGGTGGTTACTGCTTACTTGGATTCCAAGAAAACTTTGGTGAGTATAAAAAAGATTTCCTGCTGTTGCTATGGGTTCCCAGCTTCTGCACATCACACTTGTTTGTTTGGGTTTTTTTTTTTTTTAAAGTTAGTTCTGGAAATTAATCTTTAGTTTTTAAATAGTGTCTAGAAACACAAATGAGTCCACAAGAATAGGTGCGCCCTATAGGGTAGTCTAGTAATCTAATTCTTTCATGAAAAATTTTAGTTATTACCCATTTTCCTACTTTGGTTAATTTTGAATAGTTATTGCACACCCCATGCAA